TCCGATGGCTCAGTGTCCGCGGCGCCACTGGCGTCCGGACGAGCCTGACTTGCCGCTCCCCAGAAGCGCCGACATGCGCGCTTCCATCGAATCGCGGAAGCGGATCCAGTTGCCCTTGCTGCCGGGCGATTCGGCATCCAGCGCGCGGCGGACGAGCGCCTTCGAGTTGGCATGCCGCCACTCCCCGAACGCGGCCCGGATGGAGGTCGCTTCCTCGTCGAGCATGCGCTCGACCAGGCGGAGGATGTGAGTGCGGATCGGGCCCCAGTCCTTGGTAGAGGAATTGTAGGTGCCGCCCATGACGGTCGCGTTCGAATGCTTGTTGGAACCGTGCATGCGATAGGCATAGAGCGCGTCGTGGATGGCGACGGATCCCGTGAGCAGGCCGGCGAAGGTCGACAGGTAGTAGTCGAGATAGAGCTTGAGGTCGCTGTCCGGCACGACCAGCACGAGGTCCACGAAACTGCGCCGGAACATCATGCTCGCCATGCTGTTCGTGGCGCTGAGCGACGTCCATTGCGGGTGGAACGTCACCCGTCCGTTGGTCGGGAACGTGAAATCGCCGGTCGCTGGGTCGATGCGCGGCACGACGTCGGTGTCGAACGCTTTGCCCGACGCCTCGCCCTTGTCGAACCACCACGGCGGTGCCCGCCAGAGGCGGTCGTCGGCGTCGATGATGTGCGAATCGCAATAGGTGAGGGACACCGGGAACGCGGCATTCATGTGCACGCACAGATGCCGCTCGACGAAATTCTCGTACCACTTGTCGTCGGAATCGAGGAAGCCGACGAACGGCGTATCCAGTTCCGCGAGGCCGCGCTTGATGGCACCGGTCTGGCCGACATTGGCGTCGAGGCGGATGTAATCGAACCTGGAATCGTTCAGGCGCGCCAGGCAGCTGCGGATCTGCTCGTCCGATCCGTCGGTCGAGGCGTCGTCAACCACGATCGTGCGCAGGTCGCGGCACGACTGGCGCGCGACCGATTCGATCGCCCGTCCCACGAAGGCGCCGTTGTTGTAGTTGGCAATCACCACTCCGACCGGAGGCGTT